GGTTTCTAGAAGATTCTTGAGTAACCTTATAACCGTGGTTTTGAACTCTATATCCAGTAGTTTGCTTTCCTCCATTTCTGTCATTTGTGACCTGTTTCTTTGTCTCCTCATTTTGGCTGCTTTTCTGTGTTGATAGAGTGGCTTTGTGTGCTAGGTGTCCTATAGGGCCCAGTGGTTCAGCCTCACCAGTCACCTGAGGTGGATGCTCTTGGTGCACCCCTTTGTGGGCTGTGTTCACAGTCTTGTTGTAGTTAAGCCTTGATTGCTGTTGGTATCATTGGGAGGAATTGACCTCCAGACCAATTGGCTGTGAGGACCAGTTGTTTCTACAATTAGAGAACTGCTATGCTGGAAACACCCTTATGGGGCAGGACTTGCTTCAGTGGGGCTTTGGTGCTCACTGAGTCTTCCCCCTGAGTGTGTCTCTTATGGATCTGAAGAGTTGTAATCTGGATGGTCCCACTCTGACCACTGGGTACACTGGCTCTTGGATCTCCAAGGAGGTGCAATGTCAGCCACTGCCTGAGGCCACCCAGGAGGAGCTACAGAGAGATCTGCAGATTCCTCCTCTTTGTTTGGGGTTTGGAGGTGCCCAGATGAGGCCCAGCTGTGAAGCAATGCAGGCTGCTGATGAGCCTTAGGCCTCCTTTTGGAGGCTCTGGGGTTCTTTGACCCAGCTGCAGTTTGTTAGGTTTTAGATTGCAAAAGGCCAGGCCATTCGTATGCAAAAGCCTCTGCTCACAGCTTGGGTGGGGTTGTAAATTGGGTGGTGCGCGGTCTCAGGGAATCACAGGGCGGTGCAAACAGCAATGGTTGCCCATCGGGCCTGCCCCGGATAGGCCCCTGGGTCTCTGTGTCCCGCGGCCCCGGGCAGGAACAATGAACGCTGCGAGCAACTCTGAGAGAAAGCCGCCCTCATGTTCCGGCCCGATGCCAGACAGTCCAGTTTCTCCCCGTATGAGTCTGGGTCCCCAGAATCTCTCCCGGAACTGGAGTTCAGAGCAGTCGGGAGCTTGTATCTCCCTCCCAATCAAAAAAGACCACAACGTACCCATTTGCCAGCCTTTTCGCGCGCCTCCGTACTTCTGCTCTTTCGCACCTCTGCACCTCCTACCAGTCTAGATGTGCTTTTCTCTTTCCCTCTAGTTGTCGAACTTCCACTCAGCCAGCCTTCCCATGGTTCTGGATGATATCTGTTTTGTCTTTTAGTTATAGTTTTGATGTGGTTGTGCAAGGCAGCAAGTTCAGGTGTTTACCTATGCCACCATCTTGGTTCCTCCTCCGGTCCAACTTTTGAAGTATCACTTGTTATGAATTCTTTAAATACTTTAATATTTCTAGTCATCATTTTTTCTTTAGATTCTAGGCAGCCAGGTTCCCCTATTAGCTTTCATCTGAATGTCCACACTTTTACTTACACTGCCTCTGTGTAATTGTTCTCTCTTTCATTGATTCTCTGAGTCTTATATCCCCCAATGTGTATAGACTCCTTCCCTTATGCATTGTCTTTTATAGGTTTTGAGTCTTTACATATTGTCTGACATTTAGGTTCCTTTTTATTACTGACCACTTTCTCTTATTCTTTCAGTGGTTAAATGGTTCAGAATTTTATTTTACATCTGTGATCATACTTCATATTGTCTTATCCACTGTGCCGAGCCAGCTCAGCCAAGGGTTCGAAAGCCTGAGTGAGGGTGGCGAAAGAATGAAGAAATGACAAAGAGAATAAGCTGGATCTAGGTGGATCTTCCTGTGCCTGGCTGAGGCCACAGAGAGAGATCCAGAGGCAAGCTGAGCCTTTATTTTATAGCCAGAGGTAAACAAGGTAGTGGTCACCATAGTTATAATGTTCTTGTGAGTTTCACTTGTTTTGGTAGCACTTGCTGCACCTCCCACAGCCCATTAGCTACCTAGGAAGGATGTAGGGAGCATCATAAGGTCAAGCCTCATTATGCTAAGAGGACTGTGCCCTCTAAGCTGGGACTTGTTTGTGGTTTTGCCCACAGGTCAGTCCGAGGCTTAACCCTATAGCGGCGCCCTACAATCCACCTCCCCCATTTTACATCAACAGACTGCTTTCCTCCCTTCCCCTCTCATATACCTCTTTCAGAAGTTGTTGCCTAAGAAATCAGTTCTGTCTTTCTGGAGGGAGGGAGGGAGGGAGGGAGAGAGAGAGAGAGAGAGAAGAGAGAGAGAGAGAGAGAGAGAGAGAATGTGTATATTTTTTAATATAATACATGAAGTTGTAAAACATTTTTGAACATTAAGGTAAATGAAAAAATTCTCTTCTAACCTCTGAGCTTTGATCCTAACACTTTTTCAAAGATGCAGTCACTTTCACGTTTTTATTTATTTAAAAAAATTATTTTAGAGAGAGAGAGAGAGAAACATTGATGTGATAGACATTGATCTTTTTCCTCTTGCCACGGCCCCAACCTTGGATTGAACCTGAAATCTGGGTATGTGCCCTAACCGAGAATCAAACCCACCACCCTTTGATGAACAGGACAATGCTCCAACCAAGCCACGTTGGCCAGCGCAAAGTGCAGTCACTTATAAGAGTTTCACATGTATCTTTCTTGAGGTAGTCTATGAATAATCCAGCATATATTATATATCTGTTCTGCAAATATGAATATACTAGAGCCCCGAATTTCGTGCACTTGGGGGGTCCCTCAGCCCAAGCCTGTGCCCTCTCACAGTCCAGGAGCCCTTGAGGGATGTCCAACTGACTGCATAGGCCCGCTCCCCGCGGGGCCTCTAGTTCATAAATAATGATAATAACATAATGCTAACTTTTATTGAGTGCTTACCGGTGCCAGCCACAGTTCTAAGCACTTTATATGGTAACTCTTTTAAATGATGATTGTTTTGTATTCCATTTTAGAAGAAGCCTGAGAAGATGATGAGCAGATAGAGGGGCAACAAGACTTGGAAATCAAGTTGCATCCATCTTCAATAAAGTACAGACTGAGGAAAAAAACAGTGAATGTAAGAAAATTGGAAAAATACTTCCTCTGATCTCAGACCTTTTATCTTTTAAGGCAACATTCTTTTCAACTCACCAAGAAAAAATTTGAAACACAATTAAGACTTAATCTTGAGGGACATTGTGTAGGAACAAATCATCAATTTTATTGATTTAAAGATTTTGCCACGCTTTCTCCTTATGGTAATAACCCTCTTTAAATGTAAATCAGTGTGGAAATGCCTTCAGTTAAAATAGTTTGAACCCTATCAGGTACCAGAACATTCATACTGGATTCATACCCTATGAAGTAACTGAATGTGGGAAAACTTTCACTTGTGTCACACCTTATGAAATGAATGAAGTCAGGCTGGAGAAAAGCCCTGTGCTTCTAAGGCATATTGAAAAGCCTTTAGCTAGATGACATTTCATTGAGCAGAAAAAAATTCATACTGAAGAGAAACCACTGAATATAACAATTCACTGAGTATTAGAATATTTATACTTTGATAGAAAGCTTTGAACTCAGTAACATAAAGTTTTATCTTAAATCTATCCCTTACTTTACATTTGAAAGGTCATACACAGAGAAGCTCTACTAATGTAAGAAATGTGGAAATACCTTCAGCCAAAAGTAAATCCTCATTCATCAAAAAATTCATACTGGAGAGAGAATTTGTGAATGTTGGAAAGCTTCCTTTCAGATGTCACACCACAGTCAGCAGAGAATTTGTAGTGGGGAAAACCCCTTTGCTTGTAAGGTATGTGGGAAAGTCTTCAGCCACAAATCAAATCTCACTGAGCATGAGCATTTTCATAATAAAGAGAAACCTTTTGAATGTAATGAATGTGGAAAAGCCTTCAGCCAAAAGCAGTATGTCATTAAACATCAGAACACCCATACTGGAGAGAAGCTTTTTGAATGTAATGAATGTGGAAAATCGTTCAGCCAGAAGGAAAACCTTCTTACCCATCAGAAAATTCACACGGGAGAGAAGCCTTTTGAGTGTAAAGATTGTGGGAAAGCTTTCATTCAGAAGTCAAACCTCATCAGACACCAGAGAACTCACACAGGAGAGAAGCCCTTTGTATGTAAGGAGTGTGGCAAAACCTTCAGTGGCAAATCAAACCTTACTGAGCATGAGAAGATTCATATTGGAGAGAAACCCTTTAAATGCAGTGAATGTGGAACAGCTTTTGGCCAAAAGAAGTACCTCATAAAACATCAAAACATTCACACTGGAGAAAAACCCTATGAATGTAATGAATGTGGAAAAGCCTTCTCTCAACGAACATCACTTATTGTACATGTGAGAATTCATTCAGGTGATAAGCCTTATGAATGCAATGTATGTGGGAAAGCTTTCTCTCAAAGTTCATCTCTTACCGTGCATGCGAGAAGCCATACAGGTGAGAAGCCCTATGGATGTAATGAATGTGGGAAAGCTTTCTCTCAATTCTCAACCCTTGCTCTGCATTTGAGAATTCACACAGGTAAGAAACCTTACCAATGTAGTGAATGTGGGAAAGCTTTCAGCCAGAAGTCACACCATATTAGACACCAGAAAATTCATACTCATTAAAAACTCTAAATATCTTGAAAATTGGAAAGCAATTCGATGGAGTTTACACCTATGGCAAGCACATCAGAAGTAATCGTTCTGAAGGAAAGGGTCAGAAATGAGGGAAGCAAAAGCTAAAAACTTATGGGATACCAGAGAATTCATACTGAAGAGAAAGACACAAAAATCCTATGCCCAACAAAAAACCCACAGTAAAAGTAATGCTGAAACTTCAGACACATTTCCACTAAAATTGGGAATGGGAAACATGCTTATCATTACTGTCTATCTGCCTAGATCTGGAGATCTTCACCATTGTAATAAGAACAGTAAGTTGTATGTGTTAGAAAGGCAAATACTTTTATGGTATTGTTTTAGCAGAACAGAAGAGATTTTGGAATACCTATACATTTATTAGAATTTAGAATTGGAGAAGAAAATGGGACTGTTTAAAAAATGATTTGGAGGTGATTTGTTCTCCAAGGAAAAAAGATCATGAACTATGCATAAAGGTAAAATCCATGGGGATTAAAAACAGGAATATGGCCCAGCAGATGTTGCTCAGTGGTTGAGCCTCAACCCATGAACCAAGAGGTCAATGATTCCATTCCCACTCAGGGCACATGCCTGGGTTCCGGGCTCGATCCCCAGTAGGGGGTGTGCAGGAGGCAGTTAATCAATTTTGATGTTTCTCTCCCTCTCTTGAAATCAATAAAAACACATTAAAAAAACAAACAAACAGGAATATTAAAAAACTGTGTAGTGAAATGGTTATGACCCTGGGAGTAGGGAAACATCCCTTATAATGAATTAAAAATATTTAGCTTTTCTACTCTTGAGTTTGTATGCTCAGGAAATATATACCAGGCTATTTACTGTGGTATGATTTGTAGTAGCCATAAGTTGTAAACAAATGCCCATCAGTAATAAAGTAGAAAGTACTTATGATGGGATATTATGTATCTGTAAAATGTAACAAATGAAATCTATATGTGTTACAGAGAACGGTATAAAAAATGTTGAGGAAAATGAAGCCGCAGAATGACAATTCTGATACCATGACATTTTTGTAAATTTGAATTAAAACTTCCCTTATAAAATTCAGTACTATATATTGGTAATAGATACATATATGTATTTATGTATGTATGTTTTTAAAATGTTTTTGAAATGGATTGCAAGGATAGAGACCAAACTCTTGATAGGGGCTGCCTGTGAAGAGTTGAAAAAGGAAGGGGATGAGTGTGGGAGGGGTGGAGTGGGGAATTGGTTAAAGAGGACTTCATTTTTTTATATGTAAACATCTACTTCTCTAAAAAACAGAAGAGACTGCGAGTAAATACATATATAAAAATACTGAGTAGTTCTGGATTGTGGTATATGGATATCTTGTCTTATTTTTTTGTACTTTTCTGTATTTTTCAAGTTTCTCAAAATTAATCATGAGGGTGAGGATGGGATCACTGTACCTATAGAAATCATGTTCCAATGGATTTATTCCCAATCAAATGCTAAACTTTTTATAGAAAATATTTCTAAAATTTTATCAATGATGAGTAGATGGACTTGTTCTCTATGTAGTATGAAATTATCTATTTTATTAAAATTAAGAATGATAGCATAATCCAAATCTGTTTAATTTATTTTTACATGTCAGTGTATACTGTGTGTTTGTCTACTCATTTTACAACATATCATTTGAGCTTAAAAATGTTGATAACTTGTAAAGTTTACACAGCCTTCGTGTAACTTGTCTTTTTAGATAAACTTTCTGGAATGTCAAATTTCCTGTCCTGTAAATTACCATGGGAACAGTGTGTGCATTAAAAATAAGTTTGTGATTGTTTTCTTTTCAAAAGAAAATCATTTAACTGCCCACAACTTCCACAGTTTGAGTTAAATGCTAACACCTGGATCTCAGTTATAACCTGCAGATTTTCATTCCTTCCAGTACTTTGACAAATACACCCTTTTGGGTCCATCAACCCCCCCCTCCCCCCCAGCCCAGCTTTATTGAGATGTAATCAACAAATAAAATAGTAAGATATTTAAAGTGTACAATGTGATGCTTTGATATAAATAGACATTGTGAAGGGAATCCTCCCAGCCCCCATCAAGTTACTGTTTCTTTTAGAGAGGTGTAGAGGATAGGATGTGTATGAGAAAAGTGGTCCAGACCCTGAACAGAATTCTATTGTGTAAACCAATCCTTCCTGAAGATGATTTTTCTTTGGTCCATATTTACAGTATAACTTGATGTAAATATTATTAATTAAAAGTTTTCGTATATAATGGTGACGATCAGCAATACAGCATTTTGAGCTTGATTTCAAAAGCTGCTTTTTAAAAAGCTTTTAAACTTGTTAAATACTACATCATTACTGTGTATTTTTTTTGTTAGCTTTTATGGAGGAATGACCATGAATTATATACTTAGTTACTTAAATGAAACTTAGTCCTTTCTAATATAGAGCCCCTCCACTACCTTTTTAAAAAGGATGTTACATACTAAATCTAAGAAATTGAACCAGATATTTGTGCACCATTTTAAAATTACCTGCATTTATCACCCAAAGAAGGAAAAACAAAGATTTTAGCCAAAAGATAGGTTTTCCTAAACTAATTTTTCGCTCCTTAATCTCTTGTGCTTCGCTTAACTCTGAACTCTGCTCTTGTGTTTGTGTAGCTTTGGAGTCAACAGAATAAATCGTATGGCTAAAGACAAAACCAGGGAATACCTTAATATGTATTTATGGGCCATGGCCTAGGGCCCCCGCCTGGCAAGACTGGTTGTGTTGACCTGTAGAGGAAAGTTGAATCTGAAATTCAGAATCATTTTTATTCAGCATGTCAGGAGGCAGATGAGCTGAACCCTATCTTACTCCATCCTAATTGGTAGAATATAGATATTAGTGACTTGAACATTGGACACCTAAATTGTCATTCAAGGTTTGTAAGATAAACAGTAGTTGGAGGAGTGAACTTTAGGGAGAGTCTGCTTTAGCTCGGTGGAGTTAATTAGCATATGGAGCCAGGGAATTCCTGGCAATTCTATATCAGGAATCTTGTGGAAAATAGGTTGATATGTAAAACGAGAAAATGCTGGTGACCAGACTAAAATATACCAAGGGTTAAATAGGCAAAAGAACTTTTCATAAAATGTTTTGATTAAAGGAATAGTGAGTATAAAACAATGATGTCTATTTTCTGGAGTTAAGAGAGCTAAAATTTTGAGAAACAAATTTGGGAATTATTGGGTTAAAGCGGCAGTTTTCAACCAGTGTTCCACAAGAGGCACACTGATGTGCCACAAGAATTTTTAAAACATGCTATACCTATTTAGGCGCACTGACCTGTTTTCCCTTAAAGATTGTCAAAAGATGACAACAGCCAACAACAATAGCTGTCCAGTATAAATGAATCAAAATTATGCCCTTTTTTTTTTTTTTTTTGGTAAGACAGGGAAATACATTTTTTTGGTGTGCAGCAGAATTTTAGTAATTATGTGTGCCATGAAATGGAAAAGGTTAAAAATTGCTGGATTAAAGCATTCTAAGGTCCTTTTCAGGTGATTGACAGACATTGACTTAAGTGTACAGTGCATGTTAAAATAACTAGGGCAGCCACTAAGAGGAAGGGAGGGACTGGTGGCAGGTAGAGAGAACTTCTGAACTAGAAGAAAAGAATGGAGAAAAAACCTCACAAAGAAAGGCAGGAAAGTGAGTTAACAAAAACAAAACAAGTAGAAACAACGTAAATCTAAGTATATAAGTAATCCTAAAACATGGAAATGGACTCAACTATTCAGTTAAAATCAAAGATTGTGAAATGGGAGTTTTATTTTAAAGTACCTATAGGGTATTTACAAGGGATATATCTAAAAAGATAAGGCCCTAGCCAGTTTGGTTCAGTGGATAGAAGTCGGCCTGCAGACCAAAGGGTCCCAGGTTTGATTCCAGTCAAGGGCACATGCCCAGGTTGTGGGTCGATCCCTAGTGTGAGGCATGCAAAAGGCAGCCAATCAATGATTATCTCTCATCATTGATGTTTCTATCTCCCTCTATGAAATTAAGTAAATAAAAGGATAAGGACTCAAGTGAAAAAATACAGAAGATATACAAGGCAAATAGTATCCAAGAAAAAGCTGTTGTATTTAAATACCAAACAAAATAGTCTTTAAGGCAAATACACTTTTAAAAAGAGTTAAAGTCACTAGAGAATAGTAAAAATTTCAACTCATCAGGAAAAAGTAATGACTCTGGTCTTGTATGTTCCTAAATAATATAACCTGGGAATATTCACAAAGCAAATAAATTGACAAGTTTACCCAATATTTTAAAACTATCTGGAGCAAAGCCAATTCTAAATTCATTTCTATCATTTTTAAATTTCTTATACTTGGATGCCTAAAAATATGGGAGATGGAGTTCTTTGTAAGAGATGAGAACTGACTCCCAAATTTTTTCATGGTCTTGACCTGGCTCTTTCTACAAGGTTCTTTCCTCAACAGTTATGGATAACCATTCAGGCTGGCCTCATAGGGCTATGTGTAAGTTGGAAGGTTTACACCCTTTTAGAGAATGTGTCTCAATTCGGGAGTGCCAAGAAGCATGGATAGAATGGGGTGGGAAAGTTATAGGACACTAGGGGCCCAGGTTTAGAGAATGTGTCTCAATTCGGGAGTGCCAAGAAGCATGGATAGAACGGGGTGGGAAAGTTATAGGACACTAGGGGCCCAGTGCACAAATTCCTGCACCTTGAAAGGAACTGTGGGCCCCGAGGCTGCTGTGGGCACGGGTGGGTCTTGGCCCTTCCTCTGTGCCCACGCCTGGCCCCTCCCACTGTGGCCCCCGGTCCCCTGTCTGCCAGTAGCCCTGCTCCTGCTGCCGCTGCTGCTTCCACACACTGTGCTGGCCCCACTCGCACCCGCTGATGGTGTGGAGTGGTTGGGGCTGGTGCCAGCAGCGGGTGTGAGCGGCAGCTGCTGCCTTGATCTCCCCTCAAGCAGGAGGAGGTGGAGAAGTCCTCAGGGGTGATCGGGGTCGTCAGCTGCCACTTGCACCCGTTGATGGTGTCAAGCGATCGGGACCAGCGCTGGGCGTTGGCAGCGGGTGCAAGTGGCAGCTCTGGCACCGGCAGCAGATATGAGTGGGACCGTTGCCAGCAGCGGGTCTGAGAGGCAGCTGCTGGCCCCGATTGCCCCTCAGGTGCAGAGGGGGGTGTGGAGAAGCCCTCAGGGACAATTGGGGCTGGCATCACTGCCTGCACCCGCTGACGGTGCTGAGCGATCGGGGCTGGCACTGGACGCTGTCAGCAGGTGCAAGCAGGGTTCCAGTGCCGGCAGTGAGTGCGAGTGGGGCCAGTGCTGGCAGCAGGCGTGAGCGCCCAGTGGGACCGCAGCATGTGGGAGTAAAGAATTTTCAGTAACCACCAGAGGCCCGTCCCGATGACTGCAACCAGCACCCCCCCTTGGTCTGGCGCCCCCATTCACCTGCTCCACCATCCTGCTGCGGCCAATGCCAGCCATGTTCCATGCTCTGCTGCCTGCTGCCGACGCCCGCCATGTTCCGCATGTGCCCCCTGGTGGTCAGTGCACATAATAGCGATCTGTTGTTTGGTTGTTTCGCC